GGTGCTCATTTATCGGCGTCGAAAAGACGAAAAGCGAATGGCTGAAACTGAACCTTCAGATTACGAGTCGGACACTGTGCCGAATGTGCAACCCCTGTCAGTGAGCAACGGCAGCGCCGAAATAGAACACGGCGTCATAACCTGCTTAGAATGCCATGAGACATTCGGCAAGAGGCAGGACAGTAGACGATTGAGGCAAAATTGACTCTGATTTTGGAGTAGGCACTTATTTAGCCATGTTCGCACAATCCGACCGCAGACAGGAAAAATTTACGCATGAGTTCGTCGTAATTCGTAGAAAGGGGTCGTTCAATCGGTAAAAAAGGGAAATTGTCATTCGCAAGGTTAAGAAGTTTCGTTTCGTTCGTAAAAGACCGGTCAAGAAATATCTGGGATTGAACTCCTAGTTATCAAGGACCAAACGCCAGCCTTCGGCACCTTTGAACAATGCCGCGAGGTTTACTGTTGTTGAAGAGCAAACACCTTCCATAAAGAGAAAGTAGGACAGAGAAAGTTAGCCCGTACTTCAGCAGACATGGAGAACGCTTGCGTGGCGAGTATAAGCAAGAACAAAATCAGCGTTCCGTGGAGACTTGACGTGACGTGAATGGGAAGCGGTGAGTTTCAGATCAAAGTGAAGACTTCGAAGTGTAGCTATAAGGCACGTAAGACATATTCCTAGAGCAATAACTTCAGGCAAATAAAATGAAGCTGCTAGATCTAGTCTTAACTGTAGCTAACGAAAAATACTGGGTACTGTAAAATACTGTAAAACTACTGGGTACCGAAATATATTTGAAACATCACTGTGAGAGGGTGAACCAGTCGGTCGTACGTATGAAAGAAAACTGTTTCTGAAACTCATTGCTGAAATGTCAGCAACGGATATGCGCGCAAGGAGAAAAACCGCATTCTTCACAGGATGCAAAACAGCGCAGACCACCTCGATAGCATCTGGTTCGTTTAGTACGCGTTCGGCCGCGTTTCATTCACTCGCCCGTGATCTCATATAAACTCTTAAACAGCCGATGATTCGCCACCATTTGCGTGAACACGCCTTTTAAAGGGAACAGAATGAAAAAGCGAATACGTCTAATTTCTTTCTAGAGGCAAAAGGAGTAACCAGGAATTACCATACAGTATGTAAGAGCTGAAAAGCGAGAGCAAGTATGAAACTGAACAACAACTGAAAAACAAATACATGAAAGGAGAAGAGGTAAGAATGCGCAACAATTCAAATCATCACACAGAAAAGCCTGCAAGCTCCTTCAACATAACTTGGTTTGTGACAGCTCTTGGCAAACCGTCAGCCTACGACGGCAAGATGCCTAGGAATAAACTGAAAATTTCAGCTTTGCATTCATTTCTGTAAAAACACTCTACAAATCAAAGGAAAAAAGGAAAAAATGACTTTGGGACGATTTAACTGTACGCCATTATACCTCGACTGAATCCGTGTAATACTCTCGACAACTTAGCGGGCATATCGTAGGCGAAGCGATCGATTTGCGTGGTCTACATGTAGCCAACTGGAGAGTTATAAATATTTTGAATTTACTTTTAGAGTCTTAATTGTCAGGTGCTGCCAAGGCGATGAGGGTATTGGTATAGCAGATGTAAGCCGAGAAGTTTGCTGTTTGCAGAAGACCTTGTTTTATTAGCATCTTCTGAAACTGATCTCCAGTGCTCCTTAGAGCAGTCGAGTGCGACGTGACCGGCATGCGTGTGAACGCATCTAAAACGAAAAGCCTAGTGCTTTCTCGTT